GAACGACGTTTGAAGTTATCGGTGACTCGATTGAATTAGAAAAAGTTCGACGACATTTTGATTTGAGAAATTGAACGTTTCGAGGTTAATTGGAATGGAAATTGAAGTTGTCGGTAATTTGATCGAATTGGAAAAAGTTGGAGGATGTTTTTATCTGAGAAATTTAACAACGAAATATCTGTATATTCTTCTTTTTCTGTAATTTGAATTATCAGTGTTGTATCTGTGTTTATACGGTAAAGTGGTGTGTAATTGGGAATTTCTTCTAGGTTCAACTGATTCGAAAGATGGATTGAGATAATTTTTTTAATTCGAAACTTCATTTCGTCGTTTCTTCGCTTCCACCTAATATTACCATTATCATTTTCATTGGAAATAATGGCAATTTAGTTTGCCAAGTACAGTATTAATAGAACAAAGAATGCGGTGGATCGCAGCTGCGTCTATTTCTGTCCACGGAGTATAAAATAATTAGAGAAAATACTGAACTGGTCTATTCTTGTGATAATTCAGGCTTCTCGGTAAAACACGCGATTACTATCGTTAACGGGCTATGAAAAGATTAATGAAACGTTCAGTAATTACTGTTAATAGAACACACAATATGATGCACTTAAATCGTAGGAAATTTGCAAAGATAATTTATTTGTTTCTGCTCAGTGACTGTGAAAGGTAATAATAAAACATTTGTTACAGTGAAATTCATAAAATATACCAAGTATTTAGTCTTTACTTTTTACCCTACAAATGCACAAAAAGGCGAAAAATTATTTAAATTTGAAATAATTATACCGGAACGCTGAAAAAAAGACTGCAACTTCTGGATACTCCTAATAATTTAAAATTCGACATGAATTTGTTACAAATAACTTTCCACCTAATTATTTAACGGTCCAACTACAATACTCGCGCGTTTCACAATTTTTACTCCCAATTTCACCATCGGAAAATTCGATTTTACTCGAAAATTGCCTGCTTAAATTCTCGAAATTTAAAATTTGCTAATTTCTACATATCGAGGACACTACTCTCCCGGTTTCTGAATAATACAAGCATTATCAATTTCATTCAGCGGCACCGGCCGCCATATTCGGCGGCCCGGTCGCAATTGCTTCAATCGAAAGTCGCAAATTAAATTCATAAATATTTATTAAAAAATCCGGCCCGGTTATAATCGACGCCAGCGACTGAAAGCGTTAAATAAATATCCGTTTTCTCGTGAATAATAATTGGTACCCGCTGGTGTGCGCTCCCGTGAAATTTTCACGCGTTGCACACACCGACGAAAATCATCCAGAAAATCTCGCCAGCGGACGAAAATATACAAGACGGAAAATAAAAGAGGGAGAGAACAGAGGGGAACAAAAATAGGGAAGAAATAAAGAAAAAGATAGAAAAGAACGGGGGGGAAAGGGCAAAACGAAAATTGCCGAAGAGTAATCTAAACTAAAGTGGCATATATAAAATTAACGGATCACGCTTTGTATGTAAATTTGATATACGACGACGGAAAGCTGATATATCATTTTCTATGCATATTCATACGCGAATTCATACGCGCGACCCGCGGTATTTGTTTTACCTGGGCACGTATGGGCCCCATTACTCTTCCTATTTCGCGAATTTATAAACGCCACGGGGCGCTCATCTTTTACTTTTCCCGCGTTTTTATTACACGTGTAAAACACGCATTTTTCACGCGTTTCATTGCAGTTTAGAGACTGCTTGGAAAAATGCTGGAAACACACGAGTCTGTTTAAACGTACAACACATGCGCTTCGGAAATGATTATAAAATTACTTGAAACGCAAGAAAAAAATACAAGAGAAGAATTTGCAGTAGGCGTGTAAAAAGAACAATCCACTTTCCATACACGTGATTTTAATACAATGCCGGGTTGAAATAACGAGAGACGCGTTGACATGATTTATTTCACAGACTTTCTATTCGACTTTCACGAATTTTCTGTTGCTTTTGCACGTTTTGCGCCCTTCCTATTTCGAACAAACACGAAAACTTCGCAATTCGTACGGCAACCGGTCGGCTGAAGTTACGCTAATTAAGTTATCAGGATTCATTCGGTTTCATTCCAATTAATTTCCGCCGTTTCGTTTAATAAACAATACCGCATTTTGCTTTCACGCGGATGAATCTTTAAATGCAATTAAATATAATCCTACATTGTGATATTCCCGTATTATGGCAACGAGTGTTCGCGATATAACAAATAATACGCTTTCATAAATTCTCAGCGCGTTGTAAAATTTATAAATGTGAAAAAAACAGCGACGCGATTTTTTTTTTTTACTTTTATCGATCAATTTAGGCGATCTCTATTTTCTTTTATTGTTATTAGAATTTTTAAAAACGTCGTTCAACCGGGATACGTCGATTTTGACAAAATTTCGCGCGAAACTGGAGAATCTGAAAGTATTGGATTGGAAAAGATAGGAAAATATTGTTAATATGCACGTTTAGAGGGCGAAATCACTCGCTAAATTTGGGGGCTGGAAAATTGTTAGGTGTGCACGTGTATGGGTTGAAGTATTATCTTTATTGTTTGGTCGAAAAGTATGGCATACTTGCAATTTTAGTTACCTCGAAGTACCCTACTATACACACTTCTTTTTTGCCAGCATTTTTCGACACAAACACCTTCTCTTTATTTTTTCATATAAACACAAGGTATTACTTAGAAAATTCCAAACTTTGGCTCAATGCAAAAATTTACCAAAAATCCAAATTAAATTTCACACTTGCACAAAGAATATTATTCGAAAATTTATTATACCTCTTCGATGGTGGCATTTAAAAACGTTGAAAAATTGATAAAATTCGTCACTCACAGTTCTGCTATTTCTGATGTGTACAGCAGCACGATTGTCAGCATCTCTGTCGACTTCCGGCACCCCAAACTCCACCGCCATTGTAACTAGCACTATCGTTCTCCTACCACACGTTCCTCGACTACGGTTGTTAGCAGAAACAATAATCGGCAAACGAGAAGAGTCTAAAAAAGCGACCGATTTCGTTAGAATTAACCGAACGACGTCGAATTGCGTTTGAAAATCGCGTGAATTAATAAGCACCGCTGTTTAATTTCCGAACAAGAACCACCCGTCTTACGGTACGCTACCGATTAATAACACGCAATTAAACGCCTAATTGAAATTGAAAATCACCGTTTAAATCGCGAATGCGGCAGGAAGGGAATTCACTTTCTGATCGTAGCACTCGATACGACGCAAACAGGACGCCGGTTCCCGTACAACTGAACTAGGAAGGTCAGTGTCTCACTTTGCCTCGGCAAAGTTGACGTCTGGCATTGTTTTGATGGACAGCAGACCCAGGAATTTCAAGGCTTGTTAAATCGTACACGCACGTCGAAATTACGGGAATTCTTCCGTGGCATGTGGATGGAAAAAAAAATTTCGCGTGTTGTCCCTTTTCTTGCGCGTCTCGAGGCCACAACAAAGAGTTTTCGACCGAGCTGGCTGTCGAACAAAATTTCGAACGAATGTATTTACATATAAAGTGAACGAAGAAAATGTTTCAACCAGATTGAATATAAAAATTGCACGAAGTTGTAATTTTCTTTTGGTGAATAATAAATACTTTATGCAACTCTCAAGCGAGCGCAATATCTATAATAATACGTATAATTATTGCATTAAAAATTCAATTTATTTAAGTTTTTGTGCAATATTAACATATGTGGGCTAATTTGATTGCAAAATTGTTAATTATTTTAAACGAATACCCTGGAAAGTTATATTTTTTCCTGAGTAAATATTTCCCTTTCTTTTTCTGTTTAAAGAGAGAATAATTGTTTATTCGGCGATCAGTTAATTACAATAAAATGCTGAGCAATTCGTATTCCTCCCAAAACTAATATTCCGAATATTCCGTTTTTTTCATTGTTCGTTCATTTTTATGCAAGATAAAAGAAAAAGAAAATTACACTCACTTACCTGTCGTAATAATCGTCGCAGCAGAAGGGACAGGAGGATCGGGCGGATTCATCACAGGACACTATGTAGTGTTGAGAATAAATTAATATATTTGAAATGAATATACGGTAGATACTGTCTTGCATCCCAGATTTTATGGCATCTCATAACATCCCCTCTCATTCTCTCACCCTCTCGTTCTCTCTCTCTCTCTCTTTCTCTCTTCTTCGTCATGTTCTTCTTCTTCTTCTTCATTTTCCTTATCGGTCTCTGATATCTCTCGCAGAATGCACGCTCGCACAAGAAAAAAAAAAAGATAAAAAGAAGAAAGAAGAGGAGATATACATCCCGTAATTCAGCTTTGTACCGCGTCTTTATTCTCAGCATTCTCCACGCACTGCCTAGAACAATTTTTTCATTTTTTTAATCTCTATGTATATACACGCGTGCCAGGCAAAATCTCTATTGCTTTAAATAATATCCGCGACTCGACGAACACTGGGGTATCGGCTACGATCAATTAAATAAAACGAACTCGTCCATACTTGGAGCTATTTACATTAAATACACGCGCAGTCTGTCTCTCTCACTCACGCACTCACACACACGCTGAAACATTCTCACTTTCTCACCACGTACGCACACACACACGCATACACACTCGCACACTGTCTCCCTATTTCGCCATCTTACCTCACAAGGAACGAAAAATCACGTTCCGTGAGTGGAAAACGAAGAAAATCATCCGTGTGTTTTTTTCTTTTCTTTCTTTTTTTTATTGCACATTCTCGTCTCTCGATCTCCACTCTCGAACACGCAGGACAAAGAAGAAAGTCGAACCACACGCTGGACAGACTCAACGTCGCTCACGCACTCGATGCAGATATGTCGGAAACTGATATAAGCTTTTTATCCCTTTATTCAGTCAGAAGATTACGTCGTCTCTCCCTTTAACCTCTGGTTCGAGTCACTCTCACAACCTTCCTTCGATCTCGAACTCTCACTTCCTATATCCCCTTTCGTCTAGCAATTAAACGCTGATAATAATAACCCTTGTTCTTCGTTCGATCGATCGCAGAAAGTCCGGAGCGCAAGTCCTCGATCGTAGAAACCCGTCGACGAGGCTTCGAACGGTAAACGGTTAACGACGATGCCTAACCTAAAAGAACCGCGCGTCCTCTCTCATCCTTTATCCCTCGCGATCATCTCTCGTTGTTCTCGATATATTAATGTTCACACGTGACTGGCCAAATACGCTTCGTTGTCTAACCACCAAAAACTCTTCGCTGACATACCTCGGACCCGGATTAAACTCGACGTTACTCAGCTCACTACGTGGTGGATGGCGAAGTGGGCACCGAGATCGGCGACGTGGGGCTGCTCGACTCCCTTCCGTTCGACAGAGTAGGCGTCGAGGATCTGTATTCGTTGTGTATACCAGGTGTACTGGTTCTGTTATTACCCAGGAGACTGTCAATGGAGAACGGGTTCAGCCTCTTCCTCTCCTCTCTACCTTTCACCGATAAATCTATGCTACTGCTCTGAACCTCCTCTTCGCTGCTCTGCTGCCTGACAGGCGTTCTACCAGGATTGCTAGGGTTGTTCGTTGTCTGACGCGGTCCACCTGCACTGTTCATGTTCATCAGCTCCCTTCTCTCCACCAGTATCAAACCCCAATGATGAATGCCCTGTTGATTGTTCAAATGATCCAGGTTCAAGCTGGAGTTCGGACTCTGCAGCGTACCCGGTACCTGACTCGCCGATCTTCGTGTATCGTTCTGCTCGTTGCTGCTGTTAGACAGTCTAGGATAACATTCCCCGTCCACGGAACCGTCAGCAGCGGAATCTACCCGCTCGCTACCACTCTCGCTGCAAGAATCCAAACCGCCCACAACGTCGATCTCCTCGTTCGCGTCGTTCCCGGAGCCTGACACGCTGCTGCTCTCGTTGTTGTTGCTCAGATGGCTGAAAGAGCTGCTCAGGTTGCCGTTCAACGAGTTCCCACTGGACGCTGCGGCACTCCGTGACTCCCACTCGGCGCGAAGGGTCGAGAGGTCCACGGTGATCCCCTGGAACGAGAACATTGCGTCTTCTTCTTCGCTGTTCTGTTTTTCAAGGGATATCGGAGCAGTTGGATGAGTTGGTCTTTACTCCGCGAGGATTTGCGTTTAAATAATGGGAATTGATTGTGATACTTTTTTCTTTCTTTTTTTGACGAAATATTAGGTTCAAACGGTTTTGCAATGATCTTTTTTTTTTTAGATTTTAATGTGGATAAATTGATTCGAGATGTAGTCTTCTTGTTGTATATGGAAGTAGAATAGTGAATAAGGTACAGGTATTGGGTGTAACAGTTACCTTCGCAGCTAATTTCCTCTGCTGTCGTTCAAGAGCCTTAAGCAATTTCTTCTGCCGCCTCTCTCTCTCCTTTCTTCTTAATTCTTCCGGTGGAATGGGTTCTCCGCTACAGCTCTGAGGATGGGCGTTGTGCGCCGGCCTTCCTGGACCCTTTTTCGTATGCTCCTTCTTCCTCCATTTTGCCCTTCTGTTCTGGAACCATACCTGAAAGCAGCCGGAGATCCGATCTCTTAATCAATTTCTCGGTAAATTCGCCGGACAGTCTGTCGGACATTTCTCATTGAAAATTACCACATTCTCCGAAAGAAAGAGAAGATAATTCCTTAATTTTCACTCGAGTACTTTCATTCGAAAATTGCAATTCCTTTCAAAAAATACAAATTTCTTGAAACTTGTATACCCGCTGAATAAAAAGAATTCTTCGGGAAACGCAAGTTCTAGCGAATGGCGCGCGATCAAAAGGAAAGGCGAGCTGTTTCACTCCGCCGACCGCTACTTTATCCACTTTATCTCGCGTAATTAAAAGCACGTCCAAGCATGGAGCGGTCACAACGGTTAAATATCGAAATTACACGAAGGCGAGCGAGCCCGCGAGCGCGGAGGAACCAACGACCCCCTGGGGTGTCTTGATTCATGGAGAGTTTCAACCCTTTGCTCGCGTGAATGCTCGCGGGCGTAAAGCACGATTTAGAGCCGGCGTGAATTTCGCCGCGTGCGCGCGCGACCAAAGGGAGGAGAAAGAAGCACGGAAAAAGAGGTAAAAGGGGGAAGGTTTGAAAAGGTGGTTGAAAAGGATGAAGACATTAGTTGTGGCTGCTGGCCGGTATGTGGCGCTGTTCTCACGCCACCTACAGATCAATACACCCCCGCCAACCCCTTTCACGCGTCACGTGCCCTCGCGATTTCTTCGCTTCCTATTCTTTTCCGGCACGGAGGTTCACGCTTTCGACTACCAAAGGAAATTGAATCGGTGGTGTGTGAGATCAGATTGCACCACGTACTCACATCTGCCGATTTTTCAATCACCTCGACCCGACTTCCGTGTCGAATTTTGCTAATTTATCTCTCGAAACGACGTCGAACATTGGAAAAATTCAAAATTGAAATTTTGAAGATTAATTAGAAATCTTTTCAATCTCGATTCAAAGATTGGAAATACCTTAGAGCCAGACTAACTCAAGTGAATTTTTTGCGAAATTCAGTTACATACACCGTCTTCCTGATCTTCTTTTCAATTTACTGGATTCGACCGAAATGGTGGCAAACTTAATATTAACCGAAGAAGCATTGAAACGATAAAGCACTATCACACCAGTCATTCGATAAAGTATCACCAGATTGCGGTACAAGTCACAGTTTAGAAGTTCATCGACGGGATTGAATGTCATCACCGGAAATAATAAACAGTGTTAATTGGCCGCAATGGAGAGAGAGAGAGAGGAGGCATCATTCAATTTTAACCCGAGATAAAGCATTGTACGCGATTTAAAGTATATTTTTCCTCTTTGATGTACGCCCAAATGGCGATAAATTTAGATATGACACGATTTATTCGCGATTCTTTGTATTCGCAATAACATCGGGACGAAGAAGAATGATGTCGATAGATCGTGTATTTTTTCAACGAATATAACACAGAGGCAGGCACACAGATGTCCCGATTTCTGTCATTATCGAGAAATGAGAAAAATAGAGGGGAGTTGGAAACATTATACAGCTGCGTTGCATTAAGTTGACGAGCAGTAGACGTTACTTCCACCCATTATTGCCCACTATTCGTTAGAAATTATCGCCAACTGATAACCGCTAACAAGCTATTCCACTGATTAACCACGAGCTTTGACTAAACGTGTAACATCTTTTTTCTACTCGTAAGTTTACGAGCACCGCTGTTCCTCGTCGACTGAACAGTGTCCGTAGAACCACTGGTACGGATAAGAAAGCCCCGTTCTTAAAAAAAAAGCCGGATATATGTAGTGGAAAAAGCTAGAGAAAATACGAGAGGTATATTTCTCCCTCTTCAAGGATATCTGACACGAATAGTACGCGAGTAATTAGCTGAAAAACCCCCTAGCACAGTGATTTACGTCAATAAACGCTATCGTAAAGCGCCTCGTAAAACGTTATACAATATTCGAAACATCTTTCACACGTTTGTCTCATACGTACACGTGTATATATCCCCGAATGATAATTATCTCGCCTCGATATTTCATCGCGATTGTTAGAACAAGAAAGAACAAAAAAAAAAAAAAATGACGATCTTCGAAGAGATTCTACTTCTTTATCTCTTTCTTTTTTTCAATTAAACATTTTTAATTAAAACGTTATCACAGAGATCGTTGGATCCTCTTTCGAGACGTTGTATTGGTTAATGAAATTAAAAGAGAAAGCGTCAGTAAGAAATTTGACACTGCAATAATTACCCTGACACCAAGAGCTGATTAGTATGCAGACCTGGTTGGCTCGGTTTATTACACGCCGAGTAATTCGTATGCAGGGAACGTTAACGGGTCGTGCGTTCTGTCGAATCGATTTACCGCCGAGAAAACAACAACTCTACTCGTAAAACGCCGATATAAAACACGACTGCTAATTATTCCATAGATAGAATCAAAGTAGATCGATTATTTTTTAATCGAGCCTACGTCTTCATCGAGATTGTTCCGACGTCTTCTCTCTCTCTTCGTTCCCCTTTTCAATTATCCATCCAAGACCTGTCCCCCACGAATGTTAACACATTAGGAAGAGAGAACATTCTTGCGCTGATCTCGTTATACGGATCAAACGTGCCTGCTTATATGTAGCGTCGTGAAAAATTAAACGTACAAATTATGCCACTACAAATACCACATTTTATCGGCCGTTTCCGAACAGGTTTCTCGCGTTACGAGAATCAATGTATTCAATTTTTATCGAAAATTCGTCCTACGTATTCAGTGCTGCCCTGAAATAAAATTCCAATTTAACATTTTTTCGTAATTATATTTCATCTAATTACTTGTCGCTTCCGAGATATTAGAGATATCTCGTGGACCGTTTAAAATTGCAAGGTGATTGCAAAATTAGCGTATCGTAGCCTATGATCCCTTAGATCTCCTTGGATCAGAAAAAATTGCGATATTGAGATAAAAAAAAAGTGACGTTTGCAAGGAATCGAAGAGATCGTCCCAAGAATCGAGGTACCGAGAACACGATTTCCAGAGAAGCTTCGGAAAATTCCTGAAGCGGTTATTGAAATTGGCAGCCTTCTGTCCTGGCCAATCATCGGGCAAACGCTAACGAAGTGGATCAAAGAGGACCAGTTCTGACACGACACCGTAAAAGGAGCATTGAAAAAGAGAGAAAAACCGTCCGGCGGTTCGTGTCGTTCGCGGTGCAATTGATTTTTAAGCAGAATCCCGCCTCCTCTGTTCCCGTTTCGAACCGATCTCCACTCCACTCCCTCCTCCCCTTTCACCATCCCCCGATTTATGTTCGTGGACAAAACGCGTACAAGAGGGACAGGTTGTTCGACCGTTTTTGAGTAAATATGATAATGATACCGCAAGGATCGCCCAACGACGCGTGCAACGATCGACATTTAACGAGCACGATACGCGGGCCTTCATTTAAATATAAACGGAACGGGAGCATGGTGGACGAGAAAATGGCGCTGCACAGACAAGCTACCTGGCATTTCGCCGCTTTCCAATTGATCTCCGAAGTTTCCAGAATTCTTCCTTCGAATCGTGTCACTTTGCGCATCTGTCTTCGAGATTGCACGGGAAACGATATTGTTAGCAGATACGTTGTTCTAATTTTGTCGTAATAATTGTATATTATTTACTGTAATAACTTTCGTTTTAACACGTCGTTCTTCAGTAGATATACTTTATATTAAGAACAAAGAAATCGAGGAGGAATGATATAGACAGCACTTCCTTATTCATTAGTGTGCTATTATATCATTGCATTGCTGTGAAGCAACGTGTTCCATTAAAACAAACGAATACAATTAATACTAACTTCTTCTTGGCTAAGTAAATAAAATTCCAATTATAGATAGTTAAATGAAGCAACATAAAACTAAAGTTTCAACGTCTTTCATTTATTGCTTACCTTCAAACAACTATTACTTCCATGAACAAACATCAAATTCATTCTAACGAGGAATTAACAGAAATCGAATTAATCAGAGACACTTTGTTTCCTCAAAGAAATCACTGCAAAAGATACACATAACAAATCAAATATCAACGAAAGTCTGATTGCAACAAGAAACCCTCTTGCACGTGCCTGCAACCAGAATTTCCACGCGAAGAAACACGCGGGAAGTGAAAAGCGGTTCTCGTGTTCACACGAGACTAATGAATTCGTCGCGACCGGCCAGATACCGATCGCCCTTTAAAAAAGAAAGAAAAAAATAAGCCACCCCTTTCCGAAAGTCGACACCCACGTGTAAAGCGACATACGACGTCTCAGCCTCGCCACTCGGCTTCCAGTTGCCCGTGCCGAACTGTGTCATCGGTTTATCTCGCCGTGACAATATTTTTTAAAAGCCTCGACCAGGATCCGCAGAGGTTATCTGGCATAGGGATCAACTATCTAATCTGTAGGCTGTCCCTTCGAGAAGACGCACCGGCTGCAACGTGACATCGTGTCACCACCAGCTTCGGTTATCTCAGGATCGCCCCTGTCACCGGGGTTGCTCGGTTTTCGGCCTCACAAAGGGGATGGCATTGATTCAAGTAGCAAAAGAAACGATACGAATCGTGTAAGTACAGTTTGACCGAGCGAAAATTAAGTTCGTACTGCGCATGCCCGAGCAAACGAACGGAAAGAAGGCGGAGCCTTTGTCCCCGCTACCTTTTTACGGCTCTACTGTGCAGAGCTGGAAAGTTGGCAGGTGGAAGGATCGAGGGTCTGATTGGTTACAGCGTAATATGCACACCTTCTTCGGTAGAATCGCGAAGAGAGCGTACACGTATTTTTAATATTGGCTGAAATTGCCAGCCGAGTGACAAAAATGACTTAAATACCTTTATTTTGTGTTCTTCGTTTGATTTAATTTCCAAAGAATTAATATTGCAAAGAAAAGTGAAAATTAAGAAATTTTGTTGTCATTTCTGAATGGTAAAATTAGTTTTCTGTGCTCGAATGTGTATATTTGGTAACTTTATTTAAATGCGTGATTATGATTGACTCAATAACAGAGAAGACGTCACAAATTCTCATTTTTTAACTCTACATCCTCGCGGAAGCTTCGCTTTCCATTGGTCAAATTATGCAACGCGAGTTTCGCTCGGTGATTTCAACGCGTGGGTTCAAACGTCGTGTCTTCTATTCTTCCTATTCCCCGCGCGAATATAATTTTCATAATCTCGTAATAACTCGTGCAAAATAAACGATTTTTCTTGAAAATTTTTCAAAGAATCGTCCTATCGATGCTTATTAATCGAAACAACTGAAAACTAAGAACGAGAATTAGAAAGGTCGACAGTTCCTTATCGAAGAATTTTAAATAGAGTATGAAGTTGGATTAAACGGCATCGGAGCAATACACGAAGCGTGTCTAAACGCATAAATATAAATATCTAATCGAGTCGGGGAGATGGAAGGGTGGCATAGCGTCCGATGGGCCGTGAAATTGAGGGTCCACCCTTCGTTTGTATCATCCAAGGGAGCCATCGTGTCATGGTGTCGAGTTCCGACAGAAGCGAACGGATATCGCGGATCTTATCGTACTTTTATCGCGGGAAAAACGCACCTTAATGAAATTTCTAATAAAAACAAATCTACAATTATTCACCGCGTAAAATCTACAAAATTCTTCGAAGACGATCTGATTTTATTTAAAAAAATTTACATCAAAATCACCCGATGTTCTATAAAAGCGTAATTTCAATTGTAAAGTAGAAAATCTGTTTTCGGCCACACCGGTAGTGGCGGAGAATGAAATAACGCGTGGCTTAAGATGTTAATACAAGGAACCACCGCGGATGGTTTTAAAAAATATGGTCTACCAATTAGGAGTGAAGCATCGCTGATTATTTGATAAACGGCCACCGGTCATGGAAACGCTGTTCAAAACGTGTACAACCCGAGTGCACGTGCAATTCCCGGACTTTCACGGAAAACGATTCGCGTGGTTCGCCAATTTATCCGGGCACCGAGCTTCCGGAAGAATAAATTAAAAGAACGATATCATTTACTTTTATTCTATATCCACGTGATATACGAGACATACTTGTTACGTGTTAAAGGAGTAAAGAAGGAGTCCTGTCCGGCGATAACGTTGAAAACGTAAAAAAGGAAACGAGAAAGAAACATTTTTCCCTCGAAATCGATTTCCTGCCGCTGACAAATTACCCCTACGCATGAAACGTCTCGCTGTGCACGCGTCATGATGCATCACACTTGCGAAACTGATCTCGAAACCTTACAAATTTCAATCCTGTTACGCTGAAAATCTGTCGTCAATGAGATCTTTCCAGAGGACTCGTTAAATAAAACTGATTAATACAAACTTTCTTGCCAAACGATCGAATGTTCTTAAAAAAGAAATTTTCATCTCGAAAATAAATGTAGAAAAAAAAATTGAATATTGTAATAGACGCAGAATTCGAGCAATAAATATTTCAAGTTTCTTCTCGACGAATTACTCAGAGAAGAAGGACCTCTATTGGCCAAAAAACGCTGGCGGCCAGAGAACGCGAGGATTTCTAAATTTCGTTGCGAACTCTCCCTCGTGATAAAGAGAGCAGGACGAAAGAAACGATGTCCACATAAAATTCAGTTCATTATTCAAATGGACACGGTCGACGAGTCGAAGCCGCCGCGTCCCGAGATAGATCCTCTCAGTTTACTACCCTCTAACACATTCGACCAAGCACACGGCGCGGCCTTTCCTAAGGTAACCGCACTCGGAATCGAGCAGATGGACTAACTACCCCCGGGAGAGTAGCTCAAGGCACCGAGATCAAACCACCCCCGTCGTCTGTCGGGCATCAGCCCTCGAAAAATGACGGCGAATTCCCCATAAATTCCCGCCTATCGGAACAGCCGATCTGGGACGTCAGATAATGCTACACGAAACGTGAAATCAGGCTGCGATAAAAAAAAAAACTGCATTCTTTTCTCCAGGGTGGAATTGTAAAAAGATGTAATTGCGACGCGACCACTGAAAACAATCGAAGCAAAGGGGGGAAAAGGTAAGGAATGTCAGGGAAACGTCTTTATGGAGAAAATCAATTTCTGATACTTTAGACTATCGTGAATTTGAAATTGATATCTATCGAATTTGTAAATGAATTTTTAAACGAATTTTTTATCCCGAATTTAAGTTCAAGTGGAATTTTTAATTTGAAATTTGTATCTTCGGGATTTTCAGATTCGAGAATTTAGGTTCGAGTAGAATTGCAATTTAAAAATTGAAGAAAAGAGTGTCTTCCAGTAGGATGGGGGAAGAAAAAAAATGGAAGCCTAAAAAGGACATTTAATTTTCCCGGTTGCAGATGTTAATCTTGATTTGCGCGTTTAAGTTGACGTCAATTTGCTACGATTTGTAAGGTAAGCCTTACAAACTATCCCTACTTGCTCTTAAATAATTTTTTCAATTCCTCCAAGCACACGCTGTCCAACTCCTGGAAATTTCATAAAATCCCACGGCTATAAATTTTGCATCATCCGTTTAACCTTTCGACGACTTCTTTCTCTCCCGCGAGTTTACGTTTCTTCTTTATGCTCGTTTTTCTCACAGGGGATTATCCTCCAAGGGGGAGATTCGGGTGTTGAGTTTGTAAAAATGCGAACAAAATATACTCACGGCTACGCGGCTCTCTTTCAGCTCGAGTCTCACAGCCAGAGCTTCTCGCATAAACACATCAGGATAATGACTCGAGAGAAATGCCCGTTCCAATTCCTCCAATTGCCAGCTATTAAAGTTGGTCCTGCTCCTTCGCCTTTTGCTCCCACCTTCGTCCGATTCACCGTCGCAGCCTGAAATTATGAACGTCCCCTTGTGTTAGAGCCTTTGTCAACTTAAATAAAAGTTAAGCTGCTTAGCCACTTGTTACCGTGTTATATCAGTATTAAGATATTAAGCCTGCGGTAAAGTTTGCTAAAATAAAAGGAACATCCGTATTCAATTGTGAATAGAATTTTCGTAATTGAATCGGGAATATTCGTAAACCTTGCTTCTAAAGCTTTCGATCGACACGAAATATGGGAGATTGAAACGATAACTATGATACCCTTCCAACTTTCGTTTAAAATAATTTCATATTGCTCTGATGAAAGATACATTTGCTACAAAATTTTTTACTACCAGAATTTCTCACAATCCATAGAAAATAGCTGTGTGTTATTATTCGATTTGTACGAAACAATTACTGGAAGAAATTGAATAAGAACGTATCTCTAAGAAGCGATTCCCAGGAAAACTGCAAGGCTAGTAATTGCATAGACGCAGATCTCTATGTAAAAGGGAGAAGAAGCACAGGAAGATCGAAGGCTTATCGTCCTGAAATTGTTCAAGCCGTCGTATCATCCAATGCGAATCGTTTCGTCGCAGATAAGACTGGCAAACAGAATCCCGGCATATTGAATAAACATGGAATTTCAGTGATTTTACGAGGGCCCTCGTCTACCCTCCATTCTATCTGACGCAAGAATCTGCGTACCCACGATTGTTTTGGCAAACTTCTCCGTTCGAGTACGCGCCGATACGTATGCTAATACCGAGCAGCGGAATTGAAAAAAGATCGGCAATTATGATTGACTCTGCAATAAGGCTGGCCGTTATCTCGATCGGGAAATGAAATAGCACGAGACGAAACACTCCTCGAGATCGAGACGATTCGGGTGGAGAAGAGCACGCCAGACTTTCTTCGCGTGTATCATTTTCTTTCGATGGAAAAATTCAATTGAAAAAATTTCATCTGTAATTTGCGAGATGTAGTCTCGGTTCGAGTGTTTGAACAATTCTTTCTGCAACAATTCTTGTCGCGCTATGGAAATTTCATTCGAAGATAATTTCCAAATTGGACGTTAATTGCAGAGAAATTAGAAGAAGCTTAGAAATGAAGTAAAATAAAAACTAAAAGAAGCTTAATTAACTCTGGAAAGTTTAATTTCAAATTTTAAGGTTCAACGCAGATTCTGCATAAGATTCGACAGAAGTACTTATATTGCCAACAAAAATGAATCTCAATCCTAACTTTCGTTTTAATTCACAAGACAGAAAATTACCGGAGGATAAAGCGAACAGCTGACGCTTACATGCACAGTCAGCATAAAAAATCGTAAGTCAAGGGGTTAATGGAATTCCAATGAAGAAATAAACACGATAGCCAATTAGTTTGTGTACAATAATTATTTTCAACACAAAAACAGACTACTGACAGCTGACGTAAATTATTTCACAGACAAAAAAGAAAAAGGAAATTTAAAGTTCGAAACTCTGCGAATAACTTCGATATCCTCTCTCGGATTTTCTACGGTTAATTGTCCTTAGATAGAATTCGCCAATTAATCGACTATCCTAAAGATACCTGATCAGAAATCGTGACAGCGTCGAAAAAGGCGAAACACGGAATCCATGGTTTCGAGGCAGGTTTGCGCGCGTACGATATGCAGCACACACGCAGAAAGTGCAGCCTGACACGGTCAATTTTTCTCCGTTCACGTACGGCGGCACGGTATTATTATCGGAAACGACTATCAAACTTGATAGATGATACAGGTAGCGCGTTAAATAATTTATGAGGGAACGGGTTAAACAATTTTCACGTCCGGCTGGATCGTCGAGTAGTGTGTCCTCTCGATCTATTTTCATACGCGTTAAAGAAACAGGCGCGGAATTGCGTTTTCCATCCGTCCAACGAGGAAGCGTTGCTCTCCCGATGTCCTGATAATGCAGTCGGCGCATAATGAACCTGACACGATAATAATGACTCGGTTGATTCCGCGGCGTGACACAATGATCAGCCGTCTCGTAATCGTCGCTTCCGTAAATGGTATCTCTTAATTTATCTAAGAAACACGCGGCCGTTTGTTCGCTGTTTATCGACAGCGAACGTGCAGAGACGATGCTTATAGTTTCTTTCTATTCGCGTGGAAGTTGCAAATTTTCAGCCTCGAATTCGTCTAACATCGATTGTTTCAATTATTCCGCGAGGAATTTTCGCGATTCAGGTAAGAAATTAGCTGATGGAATAATTGAAAGAAAATTGTCCAACGTCGAATTTACACTTGGCACAAAAAACAAGATTACAACAATTTATTTCTTAAAAGTGATTTGTGTGAGTGAACACAATTTTGTTTAAGAAAGAAGATTACTCTGAACCACAAGACGACTCATTTCGTGTAAAATAATTTTTGCGAAAAGAAACTGGCTCCTTAACTTAAATAGGTGACAATTACCCTCGCCCCAGCCTGTACGATACATATTTATGTATCCGGAAAATTCGAGAAAATCGTCGCAACTTCATCTCGCCTCTCTCCAGAATCCGTACTTATACATCAGGAAAGAAAGCTAGCGATTGTCGAACGGCTAACGTGCAATCAACCACTATACTTTATCCCCATAAAATATCAGCCACGTTAAATCCACAAGATTCGTCCCCGATACGCTAATACCCATCGCTGTGCTCCCTTCACGGTCCGGCAAATAAAGAAATTCATCTCTGAAAATCATCACCTTCACCGTATCATTTTCCCCCGCTTCAGTACGCAAACACGCTTTCGATTCCGGTAAAAATGAACGGACTGAAAAGGAGGGAGAATTTTCATCGAGCGCTATCAATCCCAATCGTCAACAATCTAACATCACGTGTATACAGTAACTGTACGTGTAATTTCCTAGTTGAACGTTGGGAAAAACTGGCCCCGCGGGGAGTAAGACTGGCGTGTCCCTTCTTCTTAAAATTCACGTCGAATCGGTGTATACCCCATACAGTGGGAACAATGAAAAATCTTAACAACCGTAATGCGTATGTTTGCGACGGGAAAAAGGTTCGGGAGCGTTCGGTTCTCGGTAATCACGCGTTTGCCCGCGTTATGACGGATTATGAATACAAATTACTCTCGGCGCCAACATCGTTTTAATGCTGGGGCAATTTATTACGATAGCTCGATACCAAAGAGTTGATCCTTCATCCTTTTGATTGGTACGGGGCTCTGTCGGTGAGCTGGTGTTTAAGCTAATTGTCGCTGCACGCGAGAAGCAATTTCCGACCCCGCTGGAGGATCATTAAGCGATCGAAATGTCTTCTTCGTTCGAAGGGGAATAAAAATTTCGTCGCTTTTCTCTCTTCTGCGGCGGGAGGGGGGAGAAAAAGGATAATTCAATATCGAAGAATGTCATGCATACGAATTATGCACCGTTGCTTCTTTTTCCCCTTCGTCTGTTCATGTATAGGTGAGACGAGATGCAACAAGAGCTTACGATAGCCGTGTGGATCTCCGTGGGACACATCGGTGATCTCGCCAGTTTCGTTAATAAATCTCCGACACTTACAATTACTCCGTTCGATCGTTGAATGAACGGGCGCTGTGATTTCGCGTAATTCTCTCTACGCGCTTGGATACTTGTTCCATTTAATCAAACAGGCAGATCTAGCGAATTTCCGTGAAATTATCGCGAACGCCTCGGGGGTTTTTGAATAATTAGCAGCACACAATGTGTAAGATTTGTGCACGTGGAAAATGGACATTTACTTGCTCTATTATTATATCTTCCTCGAGCGGATCGGTGTGAAATTTGTGTTATTAGCAGAAGTCGTTGTGGTTTGCTTTATGCTAATTCGAGAGAGCGATAAATTGGACGATTTAGCGACGGATAACAAACTCAATATTAACACATTCACCGATGCACCCTATTGCTAGAAAAATTGAACTAATTTCTTCACCCACGTCAATTCTTTTTCCTCAAATAAACGATGACCGAAGAAGAATCATTTTTATAATTCTAGTTGTAAGTATCCAATTGTGCCTGACCTAAGACTTTCGAAATATACTTGGAAATATTAAATATTAGAAATTGAAAAAAAAATTAAATTCACACACTTTACGATAATTGCCCCAAGAAAATGCATTCACAATGAAACTGCACAGACACATTCTCCATTGCAGTAAAGACAGCAGAGACTTTCTCCGTTTGATATACGAACCGACACTTCGATGTTCATAAATACAATTTAATTGCCTTCTAATTGAAGAACCCACACAATATCGAATAACTCAATACGATAATTTAAATCCCGCAGCAATCAGTGCTGCAATACGTCGGAGCGTTGAAACGAACATCGACGAAAAGAGCAGGAGAGGCGAAACAATAGATTCGAGCACGCCTCGAGAGAGGGAGATCCATTTGTAACGATACACAGAATCATTCTTGCAATCGTACTTCTGGCAAAACGTGTCTCGAGTACAAATTGCCCACAATCGAAAACTGTTCGGTGTTCAGCTGCTATTTATTACGACTCGAGTCATCGAGATCCTCCTGATCCCCTTTCGGTGCTTTTTGTCCAATTAAGATTTACCAATCGACGATAATGTTCGCGAATCGAGTGTGTCCGTGGTTGACGAGAAGCCGAAGCAAGAAAAACAGAAAGAAAAAGTCATCCGGTCGCGCATTAATCAGCGTAATTAGACGCTATTTATCCGACGGTTACCTCTGTCCTGCTTTGTCGCACGGCTCGCTACGTCGATCATCCGAGAGCAGGACGGATATCGATCGGTACGGTCATTATTGATAATCTATACTTGGTAATAAGCGACCGATCCAGCTGTACACGGTGGCAGCTTGAAGGACTGTCGTCTCTCGATAAGGAGCCGCTCACGAGAACATCGAAATTTTCACGTTTTTTTTAAAGGCAACGAGTTAATTTACACGGCAAATTTAACGGTTCGAGGAATTAAGCAACGGGGAAATTCGGGGAAGCAAGTCTGTTGAAACTTACTTCATGGTGATTTCTAAATTGCAATTTAACAACTGT